ATATATATATATATATAATTTAAAAAAATACTTAAATATATTTGATTAAGAGATTCTTTTAATTTATACTCTTATATATGTTATGAATATTATAGATAAATAATTTTTTTTAGACAAAAGATTATGAATGCTTGAAATTAGTTGAATAAAAACTCTTTCTCTTTTATTAGGGTTGCAGAAGATAAATAAACACATAAATATCTCTTTACAAACATTAATTAATTACATGAGAAATGATTAAGTGAAAAAATAGAATGTTAATTTTGGAAAAGTAGTTTAAATTATTAAGAAATTTAATGTTCTTAATTAAATTAACTATTTTCTTTAAAATGTATAATTTTGTTGAAAAGTCCTTTTAATTAAAGACAAAGCTAGTATTTTATCAATATGCTCTCACTTGAAATTAAAATTGTAACGACTCAATAATTTCTTACACTTTATAACTCAATATTTTTTACAGCAAAAAAAAAAAATCTAATTACCTAAGTTAATATGCAAACAATCCTTGAACATATCTAGTCAAAGAGGGGTTTCTTATGTAAGAGTGAAAGGAGTTAATTTTGGACATTGAATTAATTTGAATGGCTTAGATTTAATTACTCATTAAACAATTCATGTGCTTCTTCATTTCTCACTTTAGTGCAGACCCTATATTTGCGCAATGTTCACTTAGTGTTCCTTTATAGTAGATACTATATTTGCACATCACTTTCATCTTTCATGACTTTCATTTACTACAACAAAATTTATTATTACCGATAATTATTTAACGGCAATACATTAATTACCTTTATTTTATTATTTAATAAAATTATTAATGATTAATATATAATGGTCACTAAAAATGTATTTATATCACACCAGAATTTACTATTAACAATAATTATTTATTAAAAAAAACTTTAGTCTCACATTGACTAGAAATAAGATAATTAAAGAGTATATAAATGAATGATAACTCTCACTTTACAAGTTTATTTTATAGGGTTGAGTTAGGCTTATAACTTACTATTCTAAGTTGGTATGAGATTACTCATCATTATCAAACTCAATAATCCCTAAACTTTGAGGGGACCGACTATTGATAAGATTATTAAAAAAAATATATATATAATATATATATAAGTAGAAGACAACCTTCATCTTATAAGTCTCACATCAACTAGAAATAAGGTGATTAAAAAAATAAGAAAATTAAAAAGAATATATAAGTAGAAGACAATTCTCATCTTACAAGTCCCACATTGACTAATTAAAGAGTATTTGTACTCATCTCACAAGGCCCACATCGACGAGAAAGTAAAAAATGTTACAAAAAGTTATACACTTTTTTCGACCATTATAAGGATTTTTACCAGTATTTAGAATAATTGCAGCTAAATATTTTAACGACACTGCATACAATGGCTAATGTGAAAATGCCGGTAAAAGATTTTGTAGCAATTTTTATTACCTCTAAAAATCATATTAAATGTCACTAAAAGTCTATTTTATTGTAGTGATTGGCCTACTCATCACTTTCATGCCAACAAACACCAGCATTTTGAAGAATATTCTATCACCTCGGGAAGAAAACATAAAGGTATATGGTTATGTCAAATTGTTAGTAAAATTAAAAATTGTAGTTATAATATACTTCATGTGCATTACGATTAGATAGTTGTGGAAAAGGTATAACAATAAACACATTTATGCTTTTTGAATTCAATGTTTTTGACCCCAAATCTCAGTAATGCTTTGCCAACTTCTGGTAGTGGATTTGGTGTTTGTTTATTGTGACCAAAGTACAAACAAGTAGTGAGATTTCCCCCAATGAGTACGTGAGGATAGTTACAACCCGAAGAAAATATTGCTCCCACAAACTTGGTGATATATGGTTGCTATTGCAATTTGTATCATCCAATTGCGGGTGCATAGGGAGGTAGAATTTGATGGGTGCACATTTTTAGAGGTGGGTGTCAAAGAAGCTTCATATTATTTGGAGAATTCAATAAGAGTAATAGAAAGGGAGAGTATAAAAAGCTTAGTTTTGAGAAATTAAAAAGAGTAAAAAAAAGGAGATGTCAATAAATGCTTTCAATTTTCTTAAGAATTAAGGAGAGAAATTAAAAGAGGAAAGAGGGTATCTTCCTATGGCTAAAATGGAGAAACATGTGAAATGAAAAAGTACATGTGAAATGAAAAAGTACATGTGAAATGAAAAAGTACGAGAGTTAATGAATAATTAAATTTAATCTAATGGTTGGAATTAACTCCTTGTACTCTTACATAAGAAATCCCTTTCTCACTAGATATGTCTTCCTCTTTCTCTTACTCTCTTTGTATATATAGAGAGAGAGGAAGAAGAATCTGTTTATTCTAAGAATAAGTCTATCTAAACTTATTTCATTCAATAATTCATGTTCTACGTACATCAAATTTTAACAATATAACTATTAAATTTAAAATTCTTAACACATAAATTAAATTATAAATTTTTTTAAAAAAAAATTATTTAATACTTCATTTCATTAATTCAAATTAATATATAAAAATTTTTATAATAAATATATATATATATATATGCATTAAATTTATAAAGTAAAAATGTAAATGTAAACTTCTCACACACACATGATATGATTTTTAATTAAATAAAATTTAAATATCTCAATTATTTATCCACACAAAACGTGAGCCTTTATCTAGTTAATGATTATAATAATGACATAAAAGAAAATTGACATACACAATGTTACTTATTAAAAAAATATATGTATAATATATAATATTAAAAAATATAAATATAAATTATAATAATATATAATTTTATTAAAAAATACTAAAATTATATATGATTATATATCAAATAAATTCATATTTACATATATTATTATAATAGTGTAAGTAACAAATGTTTTTTTTATGGTGAGCTGTAATTGAGTTGGTGCCTCCACTATTGTTTGCCAATTTAAAAGGCTATGTACGGATTACTTGAAAGTTGAAACCCCTTTCCACGTGCGCGACATGCGTTGATCCCACATTAATCTATGAGTATTTTTAAGTAGAGATTGCTTGTAAATAATTCTTGTATCATATCAATATCATATCAGCTCTGATTCACTCTATAGATTATTTAAATTTTAGTAAAATTATTTCTATAAATAATTTGTTAAAATTTAAACAATTTATAAAATAATTCAATGTAAAAATAATATGATACAAAGAATAACTTATAAGCAATCTTTTAGCGGAGATGTTCTAAAGCTAATAAACAAAACATGAGAAAAAGTAATAATTTCATCTTAGATAAAAACAAAAACAGTAACAAGGCTCGTGAATCTTGATGAAGACATCACATGTTATGTGACAAAACAGGTCCATAATTTTTCAGGTCAGGATAAATTAGTAGGGTCTCTGAAATCACCCTCGGACTTGATTAATATCTTTTCTATTTTCTTTTTTAATTTCTGTTTGGAAATATTTTGGGAAAAAATATTGAAATTTGTAGTAAAATTAAGAGAATAAAATTGAAGAAAATTTGAAATTAAAATTCATAAAAAAAATATTTATTATTTTATAATAAGTGTCATTCTAAATTGTTTTACATAGATAAAAATAATAATAAATCAATAATAAAATAGTAATTTTTGTAAAAATAATCTTATAATTAACTTTCTTTAATAGAAACAATATAGTGTAATAATTATTTTTTAAACTATTATAAGAAGTATAAATAAAAAGAATATAACTAACACTATATTAAAATTAAAAGTTAATATAACACTTATTTTAAAACTGATTTTCTTCTTACACTAGAATGAAAAAAAAGTCATTTCTTCTCTATGCATAAGACTTGCAATGAAATTTTTGTTGAAACTTCAAACTAATTATTTTTTTTTGGTGAGAGGGAAACAAAAAAAATAAGAAAGAAAACTAAGAAACTACATCTAACAAGAGCCACTTGAGTACAGATGGAGGAGGACTCGTCCAATACTCAAAAATAGGGGAGGACAAGGCTAGCTCCCAGCTTTGCCAAGGCATCCGCACTGCAATTACGGTCTCTAGCAATCCAAAGGAAGTTCACCGTCCAAGGTTTGTCCACCAAGGAGAAAATATCAAAGAGATAAGAAGCATGAGAGTGTAGGTAAGCTTGATCTCTATGAAGAAGAGACTGCACGATATCCATGGAGTCAATCATACATTGAACAGTTTTAAATCCCATATGCCATGCGATCTTGAGACCTTCTAGAATGGCCAATAACTCAGCTAAAGAAGGATCACCATGTGAACAATTGCTGGAGAAACCAGCTAACCAATGACCTGATACGTTCCGGATCAGACCACCAAAGCCCAGACGAGATTGATCAGAGAACCAACAACCATCAACATTCAAGTGAACAGTAGACGAGTCAAGAGGAAATAGGGTAGGTGTGAGTTGAAAATCAGAAGAGAGTGCCAAATGAAGATTCAAAGCATCCAAATAGATACACCTGACTACATAGTTCACCGACCAACAAGAAGAATCCAAAATCATGTTATTGCGCCAGCGCCAAGCCCACCAAATTGTTAACATTCTGAGTTCTTTATCCTCTGCCGAGAGTTGTTTAAAAATCCAAGCCACAGGATCAAGAATATGAAAATCATTACTCTGAGCCAAATCCAATCTAGTCCAAAGCTCTCTGGAGTGGGGGCAGTCACGAATGCAATGAAGAATAGTCTCAATGTTACCGGAACACCTTGAACAATATGGGGAGTCTTGAAGGTTACAACGGTTTCTAAAGACGTTAGTTGGAAGAGCTTGGTGAACCAACAACCACAATAAAAAATTTATTTTCTCAGGAAGTTTAGACTTCCAAACCTTCCTCCATTGTATTGTGTCATTAGTGGTCCCCTTCAGCCAAGCATAAGCAGACCGTGTGGAATACACACCAGAGGTGCTAGCAGCCCACACAAAATTGTCCTGAGCCGAGATATTGGAGGGACCTGGGAATGAAGAGAGCTGATCTAAAAGCTGGGAAGGTAGCTGGGTGTGTAAGTAGTTAAAGTTCCAACCATCATTATACATTAAAAGATAAAATATGAGCTAATAACAAAAAAGTGCTATTAAACTTTATTCAAATTTCAAATAAAATAAAATATCATAAACTTAACGATTCTAACAGTTTCTACGAATGATATATCCCAACTAACTTTATATATATAAAGAGAGAGATTAAGATTTGTCTTTTTCAACAAAATTTTCTTCATACACTTACATATACTTGATAAATAGATAAATAAATAAATAAATATATATATATATATATATATAAAATGTACTTAAATTCTTAAATTTATGATCAAATTAATAATAATAATAATAATAATAGTAAAGGATTACTAACTAGTAAGTAATATTTGCATTGAAGAGAAAGAAGGAGAGAGAAAGGGAGAAAGAGCGATGTCGGGAGCATTAGTGAGGCCTGAGTTTGTTGTGTTTGGTTCTTCCATTGTTCAGTATGGTTTTCACAATGAAGGATGGATAGCTGCTCTTTCTCACTTCTATGCTCGCAAGGTATGTTTTCTTCTTCTTAATTTACTTAAAACCTTAACATTCGTCTTAATATTCTTTTTCTTCATTTCTTTCTCAAAAATATCATAATGGGATATTTCAGTTATGCCTTCAACTTCAAGGAATGCTTTTAAATTATGAAAACGATCCACTTTAATTTGTTGACTCATGTAAATCTTCAAGTCTTACGTTGTTGAGTTTTGTGAGTGCCCTTGTTTTGGAATAGTCAATATCTCTTCTCCATAAACTTTTATTAAAACAATCAAGATCATTTTTAATTATTTATGAACTGAACTCTCCTCTGTAGCTGACTCATTACACTAAAAAAAATGGAAAGGAATGTTAATTTATAATACAATTCGTTGAAATTGTTGTACTCAGATTTGTCGTTTCCCAGAGTTTTTGGTCGATATCTGAATCTGTTGAAAGAAATGTGTTTGTTTTGGACTGTTGGAGACTTATTTTATTTAATTAGAAGAAGTAAAAGAGTTGGCACATGTAGTAGATCCGTATAATTTAGGGAAGGGCGTAATATGCTAAAATTCAAGAGATAAAGCAACTTGTTTAAACGTGGGACAAACCTTAAAACTGAAGGCAAAACTAAATTGTTTCGTAAGGTGCTCATCAATTGGTTAACCAGTGTATCAACTTGTAAGCTTCTAGCTATTGATTTTTAAGGATAAAAAATAATTGTTAATTAAGGAATGAATTTTGTTATATATTAATTGAATAATAGCATACATGAGCAACTTCTGACTCTTTTACAGACTTGGAACCTATGATTATAGATTTTAAATCACACATATAATTTTTAAGAAGGTTCATATTATTCTTTGAGTCGTCTCAACTCATTCTTCATTTTTTTTTTTTTAAATGCATAAGTTCTTAAAATAACTATGTATTGATAATAAAACTTTTTTAAATATATAATATTTTGTAGAACATTATATTATAATTATAATAACATTATTTATTTTAAAATATATATTAACTTAAGTTTTATATTTCTTTTATCTCATAATTTAATTATATATATGTTAATATTGATATACTAAATTAAAACATTGAACTAATTTGATCTTATCCCATATATTTTAGATCTAAATTTGAATAAATAATTTGATTATTTTTTTGATTGAATAAGGGTAGAGTTAAACTCATTCCAATGTATCTTATTGCTCACCTCTAAGTAATAGTAAGAAAATTAACAAATGTAATATTTTTTATTTAAAATTATGAAAGTACAACTATAATATTAAATAATATAATTTTTAATATGTAAAAATGATTTTTGATACTATGACGTACAGTTAATCTAATATAATCATGAACAAAACAAAAAGTAAGAGTTTTTTGTTTAGTATAATACCAGTCATTAGACTAATACATATGAAGTAATCAGTGGTTAAGATTAACCTAATGATGAGGTTGAACTACTATACATAATTAAGTCTTAAGTTGGAGTACTACACATAAGTTTTATTAGCTAGCAAAAGAAGGTGTTGCAGACAATAAAAAAATAGAAGATGGTACTTGTTAAGAATGGATTCGAAGCTATTGCAGAGCTCCCACAGTGGGGTGGAGGGTTGTTAAGGACTTTGGTCCCTGTAAGTAAGTGTCAAGGTCTGTCACATCATCCACCATGGTGCCAAATCTCAACTGAGATTTCAGATTTAATAATTTAAAACCGACTTTTAAAATCAATTATTTATCATGGATTCTAAAGTTTTGCTTTTAAAATGTAAACAAACAATCGATTTTATAAGTAAAATGAATTAATCAATTTTGAAAGTCTTTTTTTCATTTGTACTGATTTGTCACAACATCCAACTTCACATGATTACTTGGGTATATAAATATGTTAATTATGTTGTATGTTTTGAGAGCTATTTTTAAATGGTTAATATACTTATTTAAGTTTAAGACTCAATTTTAATCTTTATAACTTTTTTGAATGTGCAATTTTATTTTTCTATTTTTTTTTTGGATTAAATATATTTTTAATCTTTAAATTTTTTATCAATTTTGTTTGGTTCCTCGGAAAATTTTTTTATTAACTTTAATCCTTAATTTATTTTTTTTTATTTTCACTTTTAGTTCTTAAACTTTTTCACCCATTAATATTTTGGTCTCTACATCAAACTCTTTTTGTCATGTATGAGAATGTAAAGACTAAAATTAAACAAAAAAATTTAGGGACTAACAACAAAAAATGACAAAATTTTAGTGGCTAAAAACATATTTAATTTACGAAAAATAATTGTAAATTTGATCTCCAAAATTTTTAAAATTAAATAATGTTGGTCCACCATTAATGTCATCCAAAATTAAACAAAAAAATGCTAAACAAAATTGATTAGACATGTATATATGAAAATGATAGTATTGAAAATTAAAAATAAAATTTTAATTGAAATAAAAAAGCAACATCACACACATATAGTAAAAAAAATTGTTTGTTCTTTACATAGAAGCCAAAACAATGTTTGTTCTCTACATATAGAAGTCAATGTGACTTCGTAACTGTGAAGTGTGTCATCCATTTCATGTCAACATTTTCTTTTTATTTTGGATAGTATATATATTTATGGAGGAGTAGGACAACATTACTTAATTTTAAAAATTAGATAAACAAAATTTGCAATAAAAAATTAAGAACCAAAATTAAACTGTAAGGACAAAAAAATATATTTAAGTTATTTATTTATTAAGTTTTAAAAAATTATTATAAATTATTTTAATAATTTATTATGAAAATTTTGTTGTTTTACCATGAATTAGTCTTATTGACCAGGTCTTATTTAATCTTTTTTACTTGAACTTTTATGAGTTAATTTTATCTTATTTTCTTGACAAATTGACTTCATCTTAATTAAATGATTTTGAGAGATAACTTTTTTCATTATAAATATAGTATTTCGTACAAGACTCTCTCTCTCTCTATATATATATATATATTCTTACCACTTTATCTCTTTGTGAGTAATTGAATTATTCTCACAAGAGTATGCTAACTTTATTACTCCAATTATTATTCGAAAGGGTCTCTTATATATCCTGAAACTGAAACGTATATGTAATTATGTATTGTGACACCCTTACTACCCCAACACATATATTGTAATAATATAAATAAACTAAGGAAATAAATTTTTCCACATAGGTAAAAGGGTTCACATAAAAACTTTTAGAAACGTTCTTCAATATCTAAAATAGTCTGAAAATGAAAGTTGGAAAAATAAAACATAAGAAGTTACAAAATGTTTTCAAAATAATAGGTTCAACTCCATATACAAATACAATTCATGTCCTAGAAATCCTCTGCCTTTCGAAGTCTTTTCCTTTTCTCTTTTGTTTTTCTTTTCTTATTGACTCGAAATCCGTCTCCTCTTTCTTTTTTTATTTTTCTTCGGCCAAAATGGCCGTGCTAGCCTCATTGTCAAAATGATCTTTCTCGGCCAAGTTGGCCGTTTGATCGGCCACATAGGCCGATATTCGAGCTAAGAAGCTCGAATAAGGATCGTCTCCCTTCATTCATCTAGTGGAGACGAATTCTTTTCGGCTCGAATCACAAATCCTCTTTTCACGTCCCAACAAAAAGTTTTCTTGACGCCTTCCTCTTCATCCATCACCCCAGAATTGTAGGCGTCAAATGGTTTGGTCTTGGCAAATGCTGTCAGTTGTTGATCAGCAAAATACATGCCAACTTCATAAGTCTTCTGATCAGCCTCGAGAACCTCCAATCCTTCATCTTCATTCCAGAAGAAAATCCTTTGATGAACCGTGGAAGGAACAACGCCTACCCCATGTATCCATTCTCGACCTAGCAGGACATTAAAATTCGCCTTCGATGGCGTTACTATGAACATAGTAGTCCTTTTCACACTCCCAATCTGTACATCGAGCAGAATCATACCTTCAGGGTTTGAAGACTTGCCTGCGTAATCAAAAATCATTATATTGTGAGGTTTCAGATCAGTCAAAGATTTCCCAAACCTCTTTAACATGGTTTTAGGCAGGATGTTCACAGCTGCACCCCCATCGACTAAGACTTTGTTCACTTCTTGCCCTTCGATCATCAAGGTCAGCAAGAGGGGCTTAAGATGCCCTTTCATTTCTTCCGTGGGAGAGTCGAACACAGCAGAATTGAACTTGGGGACAACCCTCGAGATCTGATTCACCCATATAACTTTGGACTCGTAATTAGGGTCCTCAAAATAATCATCTCGATAGATATCCTCTTGTTCATTCACGGCCTCCATGGCCCCAGCATACTCAGTTGGCAAAATGGACACTATTCCACAGATATCCTCTAGAGAATCCTCAAATCCGCTCTCGAAACAGTCTGTAATCATATCTTCATCATCCTCCAAGAACTTCTGAGAGGATTCCCCTTTTTGGGGTACCGGAATCGAAAAACGATTTCCTTTAATACCTTCAAAAGTAGCTTTCCTCATCCTTTGCTGTCTCCTCCACTGAGTCTTAGTCGGGTTGCTGAAAGGTTGTCGAAAACCGCGCCCATATCCTCCTGTATTAACTCGACTAGGCCCTGTATTGGAGTTTGGCATTCTTCCAGGCACTCCTTGCATCGGGTGAGCAGTATGACTCATGACCTGTTTTCCTCGACCCATACCTCCTCCCATCATCATTAGCCTAGGTGGTGCATTCCATTTCCCCACAGGCACATTTGCATTCGGCATGTAAGTATACCTACCGGAACGGCCCGTTCCAAAAGTGGAACGCCCGTTCGGACCCTTCAAACCTACGCAAATTTCTCAACTGTAACGGCCCATTCTAAAACCGGAACATCCCGTTCTCAAACCCAGAAGAACGGCCCGTTCTGCTTCCGGAATGGCCCGTGCTGCAAACTAGAATGGCCCGTTCTCCCATTGGAACAACCTGTTCTCCCACTTCATTTTCTAAGCACTTCCTTATTCCGGAACGGCCCGTTTCACTTTTGAAACGGCTCGCTCCGGGCAAGGAATTGGGCCCTTGGCCCAGCGAAAAATTGGGTTGTTACATGTATCATGCGGATAAATTCGTAAAAATAATACTATTACACATTCCAGCCTAATAATGTTTGTAATTTAAAATTTTGTGAATAAGAGATGATGTATCAAAGTTTGTGAAGGATAAAAATAAATATACATAATTATATATAAATACTTATGTTATTAATATTAATTACTTGTGGATAAAACTTAACTATCGAATATTTCAACAACCCTATAGCACTTTGAATCACGTATGACAATAAATAATCTCACAACATTGTTAATATATTGTGTGATAAAGTTAGCTACGTACCATTAGATATTTTAGTAATTTCTTCGTAATATTAATCACGTATTATTAATTATATATAATTATATTTATTTACTTACTTTTAACGACTTGTAAAATGAAATTTAGCATATTTATAGACATACCTAACTAATTTGGGTGGACTACAAATTCCATACGTATGTTATTATTTTTATCCAGATGCATTGGCCAATATTAATGACTAACTTTTTTTTTTTACAATATTAATGATTAACTTATTCTACGTACACTGACATAAATATATGGCATGACATGTAGGCTGATATAATTTTGCGAGGATATGCTGCTTGGAATACAAGACGTGCATTGCAGGTTTTGGATAAAATTTTCCCCAAGGTATATATATATATATATATTCACCATCTGAGTGTGCTTCTGCATGTTGAATAAAAAATCTCTATTTCAGTGTGAATAATGTCGATTTCTTTTTGGGAGGGTGAGGTGGAGTGTTTTGCAAAGGAGGTCAAAATGACATTTAACGTCTAATCTAAACATGTGATTAAAAATGTGAAATAATAATACACATGAGATTTTTATTTTGTAATTTATTTTAGAAGCTCATAATATATTCCATTATCACAATCTCCATAATTATATTTCAATAATTAACAGTTTTTTTTTAAATAAAAGGGATGAACTCCTTAAATAAATATCAGTCTTTTGAAGAATTAATTAGTCTTATCTTTCAACTAAAGAATGTACACGTATTTTGGAGAATTAGGGGTGTTAGATTAGAATTTCAAAATATTTTTAAAATATGTTTATAATTATATAAAATATTTTCAAAATGTCATGTAGTATTTAATTAAATTTTTTTAAAAAAATATGTCAAAATTTAGTAACATTTAATTAATATAATAAAAAAAAAGTACATCAAAATTTAGTGGTATTAAAAAACACAAATATTTCAATGGATTATTTTTTATGATGAATTTTATGAAATTTGTTAACAGAATTTACATATAATTATTTATACAACAATCTCACCAAAAATTTTGAAATTTCACACTACTTTTTCTCCTTTTATATCTCTTTTTTCTTTCTCCTAAATCTTTTCTTTTGCATGACTTTTTGAAATTCCAATTTATTACACCCCTAATTAATCTTCGTCTTTCGACTAAGGGATGTACACATACAAATATTTGGAGGGTGTGAGGATCTTCTTTTGTTTTATAAGGATGTATAATTCATTACCACTAGGTGTACTTGTATTTTGTAAATATAAATATATATTTGTCACGATGTGGGATTTTGACGGTATATCAATAGTAGTATTTCTAGTCACAACATTATTCATAAAGTAGTACATCTAGTCACAATTCTATATCTAATGTGAAGGTCAAACTTCAATCAATAATTAAAGAATACAAATGTCATATAACTCGAACTATCAATTTTGGTGGAGAGTGTGAGGATAAATAAAAAATAGAGATAGGAAGAAAAAATATTTATAAAAGAGAAAGAGAATAAGAGAAAGTAGAAAAAGAGAGATAAAAGTGCATATTAATTAATAATACTCATGTCTAAATCATCCTTAAAATCGTAAGCAAATGAATTTTATTTGCAACAATTAGCATGAAGAATATATCATGAAGTTGCCTTAGAAAATTGCTTCACATAGTAATTTGGAAGATCATTATGATCTTTTAGTTGTACTAAATGTATACTAATGAACCTAGCAATTATCACAAGTGGTATCATGAACAATGTGATTACTTAATTTTATTCTTTCAACTTTAATTCAGGATGTCCTTTTACAACCTTCATTGGTTATCGTCTACTTTGGTGGTAATGATTCTTCTAATCCTCACTCATCAGGCCTAGGTCCACACGTACCTCTCCAAGAATATGTTGAAAATTTGAGAATCATTGTTAACCATCTCAAGGTATTTTATTTTTCACACCAAACTTTTTTCATTAATAAACCTTTTAGCTTTCACAAATTGGGATATTCCCCTCTCTTTTTTTCTTCTTATTCTTTTCACTACAAATGTTTGACACAAATAATATTATACATATGATTGCTAGAGTCTCTCAGCGAACACTCGCATTCTACTTCTCACTGCTCCTCCCATCAATGATGCAACAATTATCCTAAACAGGTTCTAAATGATCTTCTATTTTTGGTTATTAATTTGTCAAAAATAAAGGTAAACAGATAAATAAAGTGATGTTTAACTTATGTCTTAGTCATATTATATATAGACATGCTTACCTTAGTTCTCTTCTTAAACTAGCATTTGTTTGCCATGACGGTTGATATGTAAATTAAATTTTACATCTTGAACTTAAAAGCAACAAGAGTTGAACATAGAATTCGTATATTTACTAGCATATGATAAGTTTAAAGGGTGTATGGTTGCTTTCCTGAAACCTTCTATATTCTTTTTGTTATAAATTCTAAAAGCTAAAGGAAGATAAATATGATATTTTATGAGTAGGGAGATGAGAAGAATGTGTGAATTTCTTTTATCATAATTGCATCTCATACATCATCAATTTATAAGACTCTTAGAAAAGTTTAAGCATTCTAATATTTTTTTTATAATAAATGAGAAATATTAACAATATTTTCTCTAATATTTTATTTTCAATACTCTTTATTATTAGCTAAAATTTATTAAAAATCATAAATTTTGTAGACTTCACATCTTATTTAATAAGTATCCTCTTAATATAGAGGTAAAAACTACCAAAACTTGTAATTTATAATCAATAATAAAAATAGTATATTAACATGAAAGCATTAGAGAGAATGTCATTAATATTTCTCATAATAAATATATTATTCAATGATTCTCATTAGTACAATATGTTGCATTTATTTTTAGCAATTATGTTGTATCATAAATATTCACTCATTAGTAGTTTCATAATTAACTTCTAATACTATTATATCATGATTTTTTGAATTCACGTCCTTAAAGTTTGATAAATTGTTGGTATGAAACTAGTGATGGGAATCCATCAAGGACAAATGAAGCTTGTGGAATATATTCTAATGCATGTTTGGAAGTATGTCGTGAGATGAATATCAAGGCCATTGATTTGTGGTCTGCTATTCAGAAAAGAGATAATTGGCAAGATGTTTGTTTCATGTAAGTGTATGATCTCATGAATCCTTAATTGAAGAGGCTCAAATTTCCATATTCCTTTCATTTGATTAAGTGGTTTGGTTGTTTTTTTAGTGATGGAATTCATTTGTCATGTGAGGGAAGCAAGATAGTGTTGAAAGAAATATTAAAGGTCCTTAAAGAAGCAGAGTGGGAACCTAGTCTGCATTGGAAATCAATGAAAACTGAATTTGAAGAAGATTCACCATATGATCCACCTGCATCTGATGGAAAATCAACTATTAATCTTTCCCATTTTTCTTTTTTTGATGATAACAATTTGGACTAGACTTTATTAAGTGCATTGAAAACTAGAGACATGAACTCATATCAATGAATCATTTGGTAGTGGTCTCAAAATAGAAGTATTGTGCCTAAACATATATATGTGGTTCTTATAGTTTTTGTATCTCCAATCATAAATGGGGATTCAGTTCTCCATGGATCTTAGCATAATAAGAGTGTTGTGAAGTTTTGATTGCAGTTCAACATTTTTTTGATTGCAGTTCAACATTTCTTTAATGAGCCGATTTAATTAAGTTTCAACATCTCTATTTATCTTTTTTATAAAAAAAAATTGGGATATCTATTAATCGCCAGTCAAAAATTAGTCTCTCAAAATTTAGTAATCTATTGAAAAAACAAATATCTTTTGACATATTTTTTCTATAAACTAATTTAAATATAATACACCAACATATATTTAAGAAATAAGATTATTTATCAATCATATCATATTAATTCTTTTATAGCTTTACGTTCTCTTCATTTTAACGAGGGATATACATGCAGTTAACATTACAAAATAAACAAGAAAATGAATGAGGAACTTCTATCCTATATAGTGGTAGAATAGTTGTTGAAGCATCACGAGAATATGCTACCCATGTAAGCATACACTTAACTAAAGAAATGATTGTTAATCCTGTCTCCAAAAAGTGTCATATTAATTTTCAAACGTATTAATTATCTACGCTCTTAATAATATTATATAGAAAAAAAATTGTCGTATTATATGATTTTTAATAAAAAAAATTAATCATAAGATTAATTTTATAAAATTATTATTCTCTTTCATTTTTTTATTAACTTTTTTTTTATGTGTAAAATAACTTAAGTCTATCTAACAGATGGAGTATTATAAATTGTTGATAAGATAATGTATTACAGAGTTGAATTTGGAGGCCAATAAATGAATGGTGACAAAACACGCGAGAATATAACTCTTATTAAATAGTTAGTGGTGTACATATTATGATTAATATTTTAATTATAATCTATTTATACCTATTTATCTAACAATTTGCGGTATAAAACTTACTAAATTTGTCACAATAATTTAAAATTTTTAATTTATTAGTTCATTTAATTTTTTTTTATTAACTTTTCACTTATTGTATATATATTTATTCACTTTTGCTTTTTTTTCCCTTTTAGTTTTTACTTTATTGTTTATTTATTAAATTAGGAATTTGTTTTTAACATGAAAAATATAAAAAGAGGAATACAGATAAGATGATAATATTTACAAATAAGTGAAAAATAATAAATATTATATAAATATTTTCTTTTTCTGTTTAGTATTAGTGTATGTAATTAAATAAGATTTTTCTTAATTTTAAAAATTAATATTCTTTTTTTTTGTATTTATTGGAATTTTTATAAACAAATAAGGAAATTTAAAATTGAAAAGGGCAAAACAAATACATGAAATAAATATAGTCAATGAAACAAAATCAAATGAAATAATTAAATTTAATGAATTTTAAAAAACAATAGGTTAGAAAAATTTAACGTAGAGACTTAGGGGAAAACATTTAGAGTGATAGAGTATAGAATAAACACCGGTGGATTCAAACAGGTTATAGAAGATTCAATCCTTGTGTTAATACGTATGGAAAAACATTTGTTAGTGGTGTTAGTCTCTTAAATAAAATTTCAATGACAGTTCTACAAGTGCAAAATACCTAGACTCAAAAAATAAATAAATTAATAGATAGTTATTCACTTACTCTATAATTTTAAGATTAATTCAAACTATGAGAAATATTTCTAAAAGTTATATCGGAAACATATATTCAGCATGTAATTAATTCCGTGATTTTCATGATTCTTTATCAT